ACCCACTGGGTCAATCAATATTTCTGAAATAGTGAAATCACAGAACTGTTATACAGACATACCTCGGAAGTTGAATGGAATCCGTTCCGGAAGTCCGTTCAACTTCTAAAACGATTAGAAACCAAGGCGCGGCTTCCAATTGGCTGCAGGAACCTCCTGCAGCCAATCAGAACCTGCGTAACCTGCGTGAGATGTCCGGATTCCAAAGAAAGTTCGCAAACCAGAACACTCACTTCCAGGTTTGCGGCATTCGGGAGCCAAAACGTTTGACTCGCAAGGCGTTTGACTTCTGAGATATGACTGTAATGACCCTGTGATCCACTACGTACGTCTATGGAATTTCTAGATGTGACCAGAATGAACAATCCCCATCTTGCCGCTTTTGACAAAAACAAACTTGGAATGAAGGGGAGGGGGGAAGCCAAGGAAAAAACTAAGAAGAATTGCACTGATAAGTGTATGTTTTGCTTAGATGTTAAATATGTTCTTAGCAGCACTATTAATTTACAACTTACCTCTGAGCAAGCTAAATGCCTGATATTATTGAACCAGTCCACATGTGCACGGCAGTGATCAAAAGCATGGATAAGCTCATGTGCAACCACTCTGTTCATATGAGACTGGTGATGAATATTGTTTTGGCACAGAACAATCTACAAAGGAAATAAGGGGGACATTCAGAAGATAATTTAATCTACAAGTCACGGGCTTTATCCTATTTTAAAGCAAGCCCCAAAAATATACTGAAATTGACAAGAGCAGAACATTGTGGATAGCCATCCTCTGGTATTTCTCTGGTGGTTGATGGGAAGAGAGTCAAATCTCCTTTCTCACTTTCCTCCCCAAATATCTTTACTATTATATAATGCAAATGGGGAAGGGATGGTGCAGATTCATCCACACTTATCACACCTGTATCAAGGCATGTCAAGAAAGGGAGGAGTATAACATAGCTTCTTTTTTCCACCTTTGCTTATAGCAGGAATGGGAAACATGCAGCCTGTGGGCCTTATTCGGCCCAACGCATGTCTCAAATTGGCCTCTGAAGCTTTTCCTCAAGTCACTTGCCCTACAACTGATTTCATATATGACATCACGTAAGAACATAGCTACAAAGGAACAATTGGGAGCTGAAAATGAGCTTTCATTTGCTACTTTGCAGGTGGGAAGTCACTGAAAACATTGATTACATGACCAGCACTAACAGCAAGCACCAGATGGACTCCAGAGTTCCCCAACAAGAACTTTCCCATGCAGCCAAGAGGGCTCGCTATCAGTGCTTATCAGCAACCCCTTTGAAGGTGTGCTTTCACTGACAGTGCACCTTCCCAGGGGCTCACTGCTCACTCCTGCTTCGTGCATTTGAAGACTCATTATGAGCCCACACAAATGCATTTTGAGCCCGTTCAAGCCACTAATCAGCTGTCAAGATTAAGTCCCAGCTGTGGGGCCAACAGTCTTCCCTTTTTGTAGAAGGCCTGTAGTTTACCAGGTGAGTCTGCTGCCTAGAACAAAAGAAGCCCTTCCACTCAAACAGGAATAACTTCTCTGGGAGCAGTGAGTGGGCCTGTGGATTTGTATTTCCAATTAAGAAGAGGCCTGACTGATTAAATACTATTTAATTAAATACTCCACTTGAACTGAATCCTTCTGGCTTGTGCAATCATTTTATTAAATTACTATAATACTATGGGGGAGAGGGGAGTAAGCATTGATTCCGAGAACTATGAACTCAAAATGTTCAACAATAAACATCTCATAACTTTCTGCAACTATTTTGTTTTGCTAACATGTCAAAGCATCAAGTTATCTGATGTTTCCAATGCTGCAACAGATTGCTCCGTACCTACCTGTGATGTTGAAGAATCGAATCCTCCACTGACACACCCATCACACTCTTCACATGAGAAGTGTCGATCTTTGAAAACAGTGCTAAAAGGCCCAAATACAGGTCAGCTTTTTAGTATTAAAGTCACCTTCAAGTAGGAACACAAATGCAGTAAACATGCAATAAGCTTGGGTCAAAAAAAATTCTTACCAGCCAGTATTCTTCATAGCATCAAGTAGCAGTTTAGCATATGGACCTAGACCAAGCAATGCAGTCATTTATTCTTAAGCACAAAACTTGGGCAGACAAAATGAGCTACTGGTCACATGCTTTAGACCACAAAGGGCAGCCTGTAGCCCACATGTGGCCCTTTCAGGCCTTCAGTGCGGACCATGTGGGTGCCCAGCTTTGTAAGATCAGAACTACAGCTGGGTGCATGTCAAAAGCTTTAGAATAAGGGCAATGGGAAACAGACAATACGAATGGACTTTCTGCACCCTACAGCAAAAAGACTGTTATTGGTGAACTGGGGGGGGGGGGACAATGTGGCTCCCTTTAACGACTGGATTGAAGATATGAACAAACTCGCTACACATGAACAAGCTGTATACAAACGTAGACTTGCCATGGACAAATTCGACGGTATTTGGAATAATTTTATTTTTTAAAAAAATACCGTATTAGATTAAGGTCTAGTTAACTGCAATGAAAAGGTTCCCCCCTCCTTTTTTTGTAATGCACACAATATATATTTATCTGCTTTGTTTTCTACATGGATTCTATTTCTTGTTTCTTCTTTTTTGTGTCTTACTCTGTGCACTTGTACTTTTGTATTTTCCAGTAAAGAATGATAGATAGATAGATGATAGATAGATTTAGATGCGCGTGCGCGCACACATACACACACTTACTTGTACCATGGTTGTCGAATGCCTTGGTACTCGTACATTTTGGCTTCAGAACACCACAAACCCGGAAGTGACGTATTCCAGTTCGCGACTGTTCTTTGGACCCACATGGTCTGATGCTGTTTGACCTGAGTTGCAGTGAAGCTCCTTGATTTTCAGACATTTTTGGAGTCGAATGGACTTCTGAATGGATTTTGTTTTCGAAGAAACCAAGGTACGACTGTATGTGTGTGTGTACACACCACACACACAACACACACAACACTATTGGTTACAGTAATAAACAGGGTAATAGGCTGTTTAGGGACGCGGGTGGCGCTGTGGGTAAAAAGCCTCGTACCTAGGGTCTTGCCGATCGAAAGGTCGGTGGTTTCGATCCCGCGGCGGGGTGCGCTCCCGATGCTCGGTCCCAGCGGCCTGCCAACCTAGCAGTTTCGAAAGCAACCCCCTGGGTTGCAAGTAGATAAATAGGGGACGCTTACTTTGGCGGGAAGGTAAACGGCGTTTTCCGTGTGCTGGTACTGGCCGCCAGATGCAGCTTTGTCACGCTGGCCACGTGACCCGGAAGTGTCTCCGGAGCAGTGCTGGCCCCCGGCCTCTAGAGTGGATGGGTGCCACAACCCTTAGAGTCTGTCAAGGACTGGCCCGTACGGGCCAAGGGTACCTTTACCTTTACTTGAATAGGCTTTTATTACTTGCAAAACAGTTTGGACTTCTTTAAAGAACAAGCTGGAAGGCGGGCAATGTACTTTTGCTACTCTGTATGACATGGGAAGCGTGTCTGCCCCTGTGTAACAATAACAGGGTCCGATGCCGCCATTAGGCTTCCAACCTAACCCCGCTTACTGGAAGTTACGCCCCCCTGCATTCCCTAGGCTGAATAGCATGGATAGGCTTGCACAGACACTCTCTTGGGAAAGAGACAGGGGCAAATCTGGGGAATTGTGGTTGTTCTATCAGCCAGCTCTCAGGTCTGCGGCTGCTGTTGCCGAGTGCCAGGTCAGCTCAGAGTAAGACCTCTCTCATCCATGATCTGATTATGGATTGGCCAATCTCCCCTTCTTGGGCAAGATTCATGAGCATGTGGTCACGGGCCAGTTCCAGACACCCCTGCAAGAAACTGATTTTCTAGATCCATTTCAATTGGGGTTTAGGCCCAGTTTGGGCATGGAAACTGCTTTGGCTGCCCGGTAAAGGTAAAGGGACCCCTGACCGTTAGGTCTAGTCGTGGCCGACCCTGGGGTTGCGGCGCTCATCTTGCTTTACTGGCTGAGGGAGCTTCTGGGTCATGTGGCCAGCATGACTAAGCCGCTTCTGGCGAACCAGAGCAGCGCACGGAAACGCCGTTTGCCTTCCCGCCGGAGCGGTACCTATTGATCTACTTGCACTTTGACATGCTTTCGAACTGCTAGGTTGGCAGGAGCAGGGACAGAGCAACGGGAGCTCACCCCGTCATGGGGATTCGAACCGCCGAACTTCTAATCAGCAAGTCCTAGGCTCTGTGGTTTAACCCACAGCGCCCTTGGCTGCCCTGTAGAGGCCCCTAAATTTTCGGGAAGAGCCTCGCCTACGGTCCACAACAGCATGGGTGCAAGTAACTGACGGGTGTTTAGGAGAGAGGCAGAGAGAGAGAGAGGTGGTTGGGATGGAGCCGCGGGTCCCTTGGGAGCGGAGGGCAAGTGGCTCGCTCGTCACGGCGCGGCCAGAGGGGGGACGCGGCCTCCAGGCACTTACTGCTTTCCAGGGCGATCTGCAGCATCACCTGGCACTTGTGGTTCCTGGTGAAGACGGCCTTATAGAGCATGGACTGCTGCTTTTTCCCGCCTCCGCGGCTCCTCTCGGGAAACAGGCCGTACCCGAAGTCGTCGTCCCGCTCTCCGCCGGAGCCGCGGCTCTCCGGATCCTGCGGCTGCTCCGGAGGAGGCATCTCGGAGGAGCCTCCTTCAGCCATTCAGGCGCGTCGGAAACAGCATGGCTCGGGAGGCCTCGCCGGCCACCGTAGGTCACTCACCGTAGTGATAGGGAAAAGCCTCTCGAGGTCGCTCCGCCCCGCCTCTTTGGTACCAACGAGATGTGGAGAAGGAAAGAGAGAACAGCCTCCGGCTGCTTCTTTTGAACCAATCACTGAACGGAGCGAGGAGAGGGCGGGAAGGCGGAATTGAAGAGGGGAGGGGAATCAGACGGTATCCATGGCACTAGAGGCAGCAGGCAAACTAAACTGCGCAGGCGCCAGATAAGGCCGAGGGTCCTTTCTATGGTTACCACAGAAATACCTTCTTTCCGTAAGGGGAGTTGCTCTGTGGCGCGCGGGATTCTGGGAAAGGAGCGCGACGCTCGGCCCCCGGAGTGACGGCTGGGGAGCGCGACAAGGCGGGACCAAACACCGCGCAGGTGAGGAGGCTGCGGGTGCCGTCGATTGACAGGTGGGGCGGCTGCCTGAGGGAGGGAGTCTCGGGGCCGGAGGGTGGCGGGGTCTCTGGCCCGGGGAAGGCTCCCCTGTGGCAGTCTGAGGGCCGGGGCCTTCGAGAGGCCCCTTGAAACCGGGGGGGGGGGCGGACACAACAAACAAGATTGAGCCATTCCCACGTTCACTGTTCGGTTTGACTCGGAGGTAATTTCCCAGGGAGGTTTCTGTCAGACTCCCATCGTCTTACGCGTAGCTGTCGTATCGTTATAACGAACTTCGCCGTGAATTTAGTGAGGGGAACATCGTCTCCAAGCCTGTCCCTGGGGGCCTAGCGCTGTTGCTGAAGACCGAACTGTTACGTGTTGCTGAACACGTGTCTCTGAACACGTGTCTCTAGTCCTGTATACAGCAGGAGGGGTGGCCTGACCTCTGCAGTTTGAAAAAAGAAAGTAAAAGAAAAGTTTGGTCCAAGGGCACTATTTAATTTACTTGTTGGGCACTGTTTTGCCAGAGGAGCTCACCCAAAAAGAAAACCATGGATGCATTAAAGCCAGGGGGTGTATACATTAAAACTTCCTGCCCACTCCAAAAGGCCATATAGGCCGTTAAAAGCTAAAGTTGCCTGCTTTAAAATCTGTGTTTTTGGCTGGGCACCTAAAGATACATAGCAACGGCACCAGGTGAGCATCTGCAGAGAGAGCAGCTCCTTGCCACCGTGCAATGGTTCATTTTGTTATTTATTTATTGAAACATTTCTGCCTCACCCTTCATTGAAATGACACATCACTATAAACTCTGGCCAAAACAACTATGAGCAAAAAAAGTAAACAAATGGGACCTGTGGATATAGGGTATACTATAGGGCAGTATACAAATGATGGTGGTGATTGTAATAATAATAATAATCGGGACAATAAAGTCACAGCAAGAGCAGCAATAATTATGGATCAAAATCTGGCCAGATGGTTGACTTCCCCCTCCCTGAAATAAAGGCTTGGTAGCATAGGTGGGTTTTTAATTGGCACTGAAAAGTCATTGGTGTTAGTATTTTAAGGGACTTCTGGCAGTTTTCACCATTTGTAGCTTAGGAAAGAAGAAAAGTGCGTGGAGTACTCAAGGTGCAATGCAATAGAGGGGTGGGTTTAGTACATCTCTGCCACATGATGGTTTTATTGTGAAAATAAGACACCCCCCAACTTTGCATGTTAGTGGACTGGGCATATGTTTAATGGTCTAATTTGCTGTGGCTCTGTATAATTCAGTCTAGTTTCATTATTTTTTATTAAGGGGCTTTTAGAATGATAGTAGCCTGGTTTGCCCCACTAAATTTATAGTATCATCAGAAGACGTTGCTTGTTTCAGTACTTAAGGACATCAATACTTTTCTCTATTCTTTTCTTTCCTTCATCTAGTATCTGCAAATGTTTGTTAGTAGCCTGACATTTCCCAAAACCTTTTAATTACCAGATGACTTCACCAAATAAAGCAATAGAGTTACAGATGCAAATAAGACAAAATGCAGAAGAGTTGCAAGATTTTGTGAAAGAATTAGAAAATTGGGAAAAGGATATTAAAGAAAAGGATTGCAATTTACGGCAACAGAGTGGAGTTCCAGTCAAGGTAAATTCAGTTATCTGATACTAGGATTGACAGGGATGCTTACAAGTAGAAATATGTCCTTTTTAAATTTCAAGTGAAACTACAAATAAATCACTTGTATTACTGATGTAGTTTTTGCCATTTTGTGCTTAGCATGTTTGTTTGGCGGGAAGTCATATACTTAGGTTTCCTCTTTTACAAAGCAAAAGGAGACTCTTTGTAAACTCTGAAACATTTAGGGCATAACTTTCAACAAACAATGATGCATAGTGCCATTCTTTTCAAGATAGAATCATATGTAATATTGCAATTGTTTCCCCAGCTTAAGCAGCTCCATTGCCATTCACAGCTACTGTCTCTGAGAGAAGAGATCCCTTTGGGAGCAGAGGAAGAATGGAACTACACACAGCATAGAGATTGTTTAAGTGGGTCGCATACCTGGATGAGTCTTCCTTTAGTGCATTTGGGAATATACATCCTCATCAATGGCCAATAAATCTGCTTGTGTACTATGGGAACTAGAAAAGGGCAAATCAATTTATTTATTAAGTTTTCTGATACTGAATAGCAACTTTTTCTGATATTTAGGATTTACCACCAATTCGAAATGAAGCTTATAAGAAAAGGAAGAAAAACAAAGTTAAAGCCATCTCTAAGAAAACTACTGAAGAAAATAAAAAGAATAAGATAAAATCTTACGATTATGAGGCATGGGGGAAGCTTGATGTGGTAAGCTGAATCTAGTTATTAAAATGCTAGGGAAAAATACAGTGTTTTGTTTTGTGGGATTTAAGTATGTAGCATTAAAGCATTCTTTGAAATTTTAAAAATACAATTACAAATTCAAACATCATTTTTAAAAATTTACACCTTTATCTTACTTAGGAAGAGCCCAGGGCAATGTAATGCAACCATGTGAACAAAATAATGATAAAAGAACCATAAAACATATATACAATTTTTTAAAAAAACTTGTAGCAAATTATTTTAAACGGAAATACATGTGTTGCTCAATAGAACACCTCTTATTTGTAAAACTGGAAAGGCCAAGGCAAAGGTAACTGTTTTCATTTGGTATCTGAAGCCCAACAATGGGAAACATTGGGAAAATCATTCCAGATTCAGGGACCTACCATAGCCCTTCTGCACATCTCTTCATCCTAAATATTGTTGGGGACCTCAAGCAGAGCCCCAAGATCTGTAATCCATCACTACTTTGAATCACGTCTGGTATTATACAAGTGGCCAGTGCAGAGCTTTTAGGATAGGTGATCCCATCTTACTGCCTCAGTCAATAATCTGGCAGTAATATCCATCAAGGGTAGGCCCATAACAAGTGCATTGCAGTAATCCAAATGGGAGGTCACTAGAGCATGGGTTACCGTGACTAGCCAGCATTGAAACAAAACTCAAATACCTCCGAAGGTTTAACTTTAGAATATTAGTTTATTGGTGAAACATATTGTCTGTATGTTTTATTAGACTGTAGTCTAATTCATGAGATAATTAAGATGGACATAGATTAATTAACATTTCTGATCTGTGTTTATCCAATTAAAATGAATAGATGTTGCACAGGAGCACCGTTGTCCAGATTACATTCTTGTACCCTAGCCTAAGATTTTAGCTAAAGTAAATTTCACCAAAGGCAGATTTAGTCACAAGAAAATGTATTATCTGTAGGAAAATGTTGTAGATTTCTAGTTGTAACATGTGACACTACAGACTTCAGGAAGGGTGGGTGTGCCGGGGGGGGTGGTCTGCTTTCATGTAAAGCATTTATTTCACATTTAGTGAGCACATTGTGGAGAGGCTAAAGTAACTTTTTAATATGGGGAAGTAATCCAAAATATGACATCACTCCTTTTCCCACACTCTGAAGTGGTACAGACCCAAATTCTACCACCTCATTCAGTGTATGTATAAACAGGCTGTCAATTATACAACAGTCAGTAGAACTAAATTAGCTTAAGTATTCAGGCTTAATTTGAAGGAATGGGTTTCTGTGCAGGGACCCATAATCCACTTTTTCCCTTTTCCAAGGGAGCATTTCTAAAATGCTGTAACTTGAGCTCTTGAGCCAAAACCCAGCTGTATAAACAAGTGCTCAAAGCTCTCTTCCTTATCAGTCCATGAAGGCCGGTAATGATAGATGACCTTGTCCACTCCAAAGTGGAATTTCAAAAAAATACTTCCCAGAAGTTCATTTCTAACATTCCTTCTGAAATGGCATTGGGCAGAAAAGTTTTACTTTCAGAAGCAGTTACTCCATTTTGTGATATTACTTTAGCTCTGATAACGGAAATATTTATTTAAAAAGTGAAAAGACAGTTTGCTTTAGCTTGTTGGATAGGAGTTGGGTGAAATACGTGGATGAATGTTAGTGATATAACTAATATTTAATAAGACATTCACTGTTTTTTACTACTTTGTTTATTCACCCTTTAATTTTTTAATTTGTAATTTTCTTCAAATGTGTGTCATTTCAGGATAAGATACTTGAAGAACTTGATAAGGAAGATAGCACCCATGATTCAGTGTCTCTAGAATCAGATTCTGAAGAAGATGGAATACACATAGACACAGAAAAAGCTCTTGCTGAGAAAGAAAAGGTTATTTTGGTCTTTCAGAATGAGGGACATTTTTGTTTTCTCCTAACACCCTTTAGGATGTACCTTCAGATTAAACCTTGAAACCAAGAGATTAACTCCAGACATTTTTGGATATTTTACCGTGACTCATTCCTTATCTAATTATTTTAAGACATGTTATGGGCAGCATGGTGATTTGATCTCCTTTTGTTATGTTGATGATCTTCTTGAGATAGGCAGTTCGGAATTGTGGTATTTACTTACTTTAAATCATGTTCCATTTTCTGTAAAAACAACAAGAAGAAGGAAACCCAACCTGGTAAAAGCTATAGATGTTTTGGAAAATTGGTGACAGTCACACTCTTCCGTCCTGCTCAACTCTTATCTCCCAGTGCAGGTTGTGTGATCGAAAGTGAGGTCTGAAAACTGCTAGAATTTGTGGTTACGGAAGTCATTTATAAACAGAAGTGTGAATTGGGGCTAGAGAGATTATGAATATGTGCCCTCTTCCCAAAATTTTACTATATTATTTGTTTGCATTTATATTCCTTTCCTCATTTTATCTTCAAAATAAGCCATGGTGTAGGTTAGGATGCACGTGAGTCTTGCTGAGCTCTTTTTCAAGGGTTCCATCTGAATAGGGTTGAACCTGGGCCACAAAATCCTGAAAGCTGGCAAACACAATTCCCAAGATACAAGAAAAGTAACATTTTGGGGAGGGAAATAAGTTTGAAGTATATTCACACCACTGATCACTATATTTTGTTCAACAGGGTAATAATTATTTTAAGCAAGGAAATTATGATGCTGCAATTGAATGTTACACAAAAGGAATGAATGCAGATCCTTACAATCCTGTTTTGCCCACAAACAGATCGTCTGCTTTTTTCCGACTGAAAAAGTAAGGCTTGTTTTGGATACTTTGGTATTTCAGGATTTCCTTAAGCATTCAGCTCTCCCTCTCTTCTTTTTCGGTAGCCTTGTTTTGGCTTTAAACCTGTCAATGCTCAACCATTTCAGTTTGCCATTTGACAGATTAATTAACAAAGAACATGGGAAATTAGTGCCTTATCAGAAGCTGGTTGATGCTCAGCATCCTGAAAGTGCAGAGGCAAACATTTCTGAAGTAGTCCCATTTTATGAGCATTGACTCCTTGAAGGGGGGTGGTAGGAAACATCGGAGTCGCATGCTGTGGCTGCCCTGTCAGACAGTGGGGGACAGAATATACTGAAGGGTATAATATAGCTGACAGTCTTCCCCAATTCAGCACCAGTGCAACTTTAGAAGCGTTCATACCCACATTTCTGTGAATTGCATGGGTTTCTGTTTGCATGCTTTTAAGGAACATGCATTTGGGATGACAAACCTACAATATTGTTGCAGGTATTCTGTGGCTGAATCCGATTGTAACTTAGCACTTGCCCTAAACAAAAACTATACAAAGGCTTATGCCAGAAGAGGAGCTGCTCGCTTTGCTTTGCAAAATTTTGACGGTGCTAAGGAAGGTATGTTGGATTTTCTGTTTCTGTATGTTTAATACTCATTCGTTTTGGCTGTCAAAGACATTGCTCAGCCACAACTCGTTTCATCCCAGGCCATTAACCATGCTTGCTGGGGCTGATGGGAGTTGTAGTTCAACAACATATGCAGGGCCAAAGGTTCCCCACATGCCTGCTCTAGATAAATAACTTTTTGATTTATGGATTGACCTACCAATATACCAATTTCAGCATTAATTCTTCAATTTGCCTTGTCTCTGAAGCATGCATGGAAGAGTTCAGCCAATTAATTAATGTATACAGCATTCTGAGAAACTTCTCAATTGAACAAGATTCTGGGAAACACCCATATATTATTAATTTTAAGTAAAATATGCTGTATCTCAAATGTCACTGGACATTATTGGTTTGTATAATCTTAGAAGAAACTTCTTATATTTGTTCCCCTTCTTTAGTAAGTGTCTGTAAAAAAAATTGCATTGGAGAAATGACTTTTTTTAAAAAAAGGTCATTTTGCAGATATAACAATATTGTCTTAGATTCATGTTTGCTGATGTTGAAAATCGCCCAGGTTGAAACGTAATTACAAACTGTTGGAGACTAACAGTGTTCTGAAATGTGATGAGATCTGTTTTCCATCTTCCCTCAAAATGAATTCTAGAGACTGTGATACCTATTGATGAACTATAAATGTGTTTCATGTTATCTTCTAGTTTATATAGTTGGGTAATAATCCTATTAAACTTTTGGGAGGTTACTTTGAGAACTATTTACTTGTTTTGCTTTTTAAGTGAGGTATGTCAGTGCATTTCCTATACAAGAAGCACTGCTGATACGATTACCAAGCCGTAACTTACATTTTTCCTAAAGGTTTGTGCTTTTCACCCTATTAATGTATATTTTCATGTCCTGCTGTCAGATTACGAAAAGGTTTTGGAGTTGGATTCAGACAACTTTGAAGCAAAAACTGAACTTGGGAAAATCGAACAGGTAAATAATTTAAATTTGCCCAATGAACATGATTTTATTTTTTGCTATGTAGTATAAATGTTTTGCATGTCTTATGTCTTATATTAGGCTCTCCTGTCGAAAGAAGGCTTCCAAGCTGAAGAATCAGATGTCTTTACCAACACTGAAATAACAGAACAGAAACAAACTGAGGAGGAGCAGCTAAAGCAAAAGGCTATGGCCGAAAAAGATTTGGTAAATAGAACATATAATGTTCAAGATAGTTGTGGGAGTTGTGGTGGAATTTTATAGTGGTTCAGAATACCATGCAGAACTGGAACCCACGTCTGTGACAAATGGAATAAGTGTCTAGTGTTTAGTTAGTTGTGTGGTTTCTTTAAAGCGACCAAGTGTTAAAACACTAGATTTACATTATTCTGATGTAGCTCCAGCCCTGGCCCAGCTGCTATATGATTGTATTGTGTTGTCATATGCCAGACATTCTGAAATCTGCATTGCTGTCTGAAAAAGCATACCCTATCACTACTTCTCTTCTTTCACATGCAGGAGTGTGTGAGATATTGAATAAAGTCTTAATTTTTGAAGTGTTGCTCACTTGTATGAAGATGCAATTGTTGATGTTTACACTGTTTCTCTTCCCCAAATATCACAGGGAAATGGCTATTTCAAAGAAGGGAAATATGAAATAGCAATAGAATGCTACACACGTGGAATAGCAGCAGATGGCACCAATGCGCTTCTTCCAGCCAACAGAGCTATGGCCTACCTGAAAATTCAAAAGTGTGTGCTCTTGAACTTGCAATTCCGCATGATCTGTGTATTTTCTTAGCATTTAAATCAATTCTGTCTTTTGAAATCTTTTTTTAAAATACATAGTCATAAGCAAAGCTTTTTACTAATTGCACTCTCATCATATCTATTAAAAAACAATCTTAATTAATTTTCATATAACATAAACAGTACAGCACAACATTTTGTTCCCACAAGAACATTTTGTTCCTATAGTGGAGATTATGTCATAGCTTGGGTTGGTCTAATGCTGTTTTGCACTTCACCGAACTGATTTGAAAATGTTTTTTTGTGTGAAATTAAAACTTGTGTACATAAGCAAGTACCTAATGTAAGCACTACTTTCATATATTACAAGAATGACTTAATGGAGGAATTCAGAGCTACGATCTCCTCACCCATTCTCATTGCATTTTATTCATCAAGTTTTAATATTCAACCAGTGAAGTAGAATAAAGTATTCCTTTAGAGCAGAGCTTTCCAAACTGTGTCACAACACATTAGTGTGTCAGCTGCAGTGTGTAGGTGTGTCACGTGAACGCTCCCCTCACTCCTCCTGGGGCTGGAAAGAGGTTAGTTTAACCTCCAGTTTGGTAGTAAAATTGAATTACTCTGAATTACTCTGTCGTGAAATGATGCATGTCTAAAAAGTGTGTCATCAACATGAAAAGTTTGGAAAGCTCTGCTCAGGTTCAGATTGGTACTGTAGCTGTTACGTTGTCAAGACCAGAGAGCAACTCTGCTATAAGTTTGTAACATATTCTTCTTTGTAACATATTCAACTAAATGTTTTTGAACTTTCCAAATAACGGTCACATAAAGTTTAAATTTAGGCAACATATTGGTTTTTAATCCAAGCGCTTCTTTAATGTAATCACATTGCGAAAGGTCTGTTCAGCTCTAGAGATAGAATTACACAGCTTCTAGTAGCATATAATTCTCATATTTGCTCACATGTGACATAGATATGCAAACTTTGGTCAGAATTTGTTGGAGTGACTGTAGACTGTAAGAAACAAGATCTGATGGGATCTGCACTACTAAGTAATCCTTTTAAATGTTTTCTCTTGATGATGAGATATGAAGAAGCAGAGGAAGATTGTACTCAAGCTGTATTACTAGATTCCTCCTACTCAAAAGCTTATGCCAGAAGAGGGACTGCGAGAGCTGCACTGGGAAAGCTAAAAGAAGCTATGCAAGGTGGGATTTTTAATGGATGTGTGATTGTTGTTATCTTTCGATGAAGTTTTTGCTCAATCATAATTTCTCAGTGCAACAGCCCCAGTCCACCAACAACAATCCAGTATGATAGCAGCAAAACTTGGGCAAAAAGTAACTGGGGTTTTTTAACACCTAGATTTTCTGAGCTGCTATGTTTGCCTGATATAGTTGGGCCACTGTAAGGGGGAACATGGATGTGCTCCTACCCACTTAACCTTTGCCCAGGGAATAGCACTGAAACTTAATTTTATTTCCATAAGGAGACTCTCGCATTGAAGGAGATGTGGCAGAATCTGGACCCTGTCTAAATTGCTAATTGAGAATCTAATCAATTTGGTATTTGAAATTGGGCCTTGCATCGTGCTTCATTGGAGTCAAGGCTGATTCAAAAGAAGTAAAGCTATTTTGCACTGAAAGAGAGCATGAAAATTGCTTGGTTCCCATTTCCTTGCTATTGCTCTGAGTGCAAAATTTCATTCACAGTAGCTTACATTTTAATAAATAATGACCATTAGTTACTGTTATTGCATTTCAGTAGCTCATTATTAATTAGATACTTGAGCATGCCATAGTCATGGAAATCACATTTATTATAGTGGGGAAAGTCTTCTTTGGGAAACCAGTTGGATTCATTAGGACTTCCAAATGGTTAGCGTTTGATAATGGATCATGTCTTAACAATTGCAGATAAATACATGTAAATTAAGTGTTAAAACTAATTATCGTTACATTATATTAAATTTGTGTTTCTTGATGTAAATTCATCAGATTTTGAAACTGTTTTGAACCTGGAACCTGGAAATAAGCAAGCAGTAAATGAACTAATGAAACTTAAGAATGTAAGTGTGTTGTACTTCAGTATCTCCCTAATTACTTCCTTAAATTACTTTGAGTATTTTTCTGAGTTATAAATCATTCCGATTTTCATGGATGGTTATTTACTAATCTTTTAAAGGAATCAATTGCAAAAGGGCTGTGGACAGGCACGGAATGTCCTGGACTATCACAAAAGGAAACAGAAGCACAAAATCTAGTGAAACCTATTGATAAACCGTTGCATCTTAGATCAAAAGTAAGTACAAATGATGAGGGCATCAGGTGTTTTTACCCTGAGGATGAGGTTAGTGTGAGCAGGGCAAACTTGTGCAGGCTTGAAGTGTTGTAAAGAAGAAGATCAGTTTGTTCAGGAAGGGAAGTTACAGGCAGGATGTTTGCTGGTATGATATCAAGAGAAATTTCCACAAAGGGTAGAGGTGTGGAAGGAGAGAAAAGTTCATCTTAAGTATTTTACATGAATCTGAATGGAGAGCCATATCTCTGTCTAGTGGCATAAGAGAGGGAGATACAAAGAGAATAAATATATATATATATTAGAAGGTGTGGTCTTGTAAATACTGTCATACACATTTGGGGCGAGATCAATTGATAGGAGGCAAATTCCGTTGCTGTGTGTGTGTACTAAAAGGGTGAGTGTGTCTTTCTGTGATTGCCTACAAAAGTTTTATGCCACAAACAACTTCTTAGTATCGGGATTTTCATATTTGCTATGGCAGGCACAGGTAAGCTTTGAGAATGCACCCAGTTGTTCACAGGTATGTTAAAACCGCTGTAACTAACTCCCTGCATGGTTCTGTTCTGTTTAGAAACCCTTGAGAAGAATAATCATTGAAGAAGTGGATGGTGAGATTCTGACCACAAATTTGGTGGCTACCCCAAATCCACAACCTAAACAGTCTGTTTCTGCAAGTGTAGAAGCAACACATACCTCAGCATCTGCACAGAATCCAAGCAAAGATTATTTTTCTTCAGCTGATACTCCCAAAGCAAAGCTGTTGAAAATAGAAGAAATCGGAGATTCTGTAACCATAGAGTAAGTACTGATTTTAGTATTAAATATGAACTAGTGGTTTGTTTTGCTCCAAACAAACATGTTCACAATAAACTATTAACTATTAGCTTACTATGAGTTGTGAATTGACCCATATTGTAATGGGGGTCGGAGGCCTTATGAACGGAATAAACAAATGGGAACTTTGGTAATGATTTTTATCAGCTCTTTTAGTTACATATAGGTTTTAGGATAATTTTAGCTCAAGACAGTTGATGCTAAAAACCATGGTGGCTTAACAGTGTGTATGTCCTTTTGAATGAATCTTAAAAGTAAAACTACAAGGCTGTTTTTTCAGGTCTAATACATGTTATGTAAGTACACAAATAGAAGAGTTTATAACTTTCCCCTCATATATTTTAGGAAACACTATACTGTATTCAGTGGTGGTGTCCAAACTTTTTTCAAAGAGGGGCAGATTTGAAAGGGCCAACCCCAAAGTTATTGAGCTTTTTTTAAGGATTGCAATTGTTGATTTTTTTAGGTCTGGAGTTGTTGAGCTTATATTAGGATTGAAGTTGTTGAGGTTTTTTTTTAGGATTTTACCCCAGGAAATAAACTGCGTGGGCCGGATTAGGCCCCCAAAATGGACTTTGGACATGCCTGCTATATATAGTATACAGTAAACATTTTACAGTGGTGCCTCGCAAGACGAAATTAATTCGTTCCGCAAGTTTTTTCTTCTTGCGAGTTTTTCGTCATTGGCCGATGCACGGTTTCCCATGAGGAATGCATTGAAAATCCATTATGCGTCCAATAGAGGAAACCACCTTTCAGACCAGGTCCGGGGAACAGTTCAGTCCCCGACCTCTTTCTGAAGGCTGGGGGCCGGGGGGGACAACGTGCTGTTTTTCCCCTCGACTGCCCAAGCCTTCCGGAAGGCTGTTCTGAAGAGCTGCGGTGGGAAAAAAAGCCCTTTCTTATCCCACCTCACCGCCACCGCAAGGCTCCGGGGGACCTGTCCTGCCTGGTGCGCGCGAGCTTGCTGAACACTCGCTCCGAAGCATGGGGAGCCCTCCGGAGGGCTCCCCGTGCTTCGGGCGTACAGGCTGCCGCCCCAAGCCTCGCGCACCTCGGCGGGACCTCCTGGCGGCGCGCCGAGGCTTGCAGACACTCGCCCGAAGCAAGGGGAGCTCTCCGAGGGCTCCCCGTGCTTCGGGTGACAGGCTGCCGCCCCAAGCCTCGCGCACCCGGCGGGACCTCCTGCCGGGTGCGCGAGGCTTGCAGACACTCGCCCGAAGCAGGGGAGCCTCCGAAGGGCTCCCCGTGCTTCGGGTGACAGGCTGCCGCCCCAAGCCTCGCGCACCCGGCGGGACCTCCTGCCGGGTGCGCGAGGCTTGCAGACACTCGCCCGAAGCAGGGGAAGCCCTCCGGAGGGCTCCCCGTGCTTCGGGTGACAGGCTGCCGCCCCAAGCCTCGCGCACCCGGCGGGACCTCCTGCCGGGTGCGTAGTTGGGTAATAATCCTATTAAACTTTTGGGAGGTTTTTGAGAACTATTTACTTGTTTTGCTTTTTAAGTGAGGTATGTCAGTGCATTTCCTATACAAGAAGCACTGCTGATACGATTACCAAGCCGTAACTTACATTTTTCTCGGTTTGTGCTTTTCACCCTATTAATGTATATTTTCATGTCCTGCTGTCAGATTACGAAAAGGTTTTGAGTTGGATTCAGACAACTTTGAAGCAAAAACTGACCTTGGGAAAATCGAACAGGTAAATAATTTAAATTTGCCCAATGAACATGATTTTATTTTTTGCTATGTAGTATAAATGTTTTGCATGTCTTATGTCTTATATTAGGCTCTCCTGTCGAAAGAAGGCTTCCAAGCTGAAGAATCAGATGTCTTTACCAACACTGAATAACAGCAAGAAACAAACTGAGGAGGAGCAGCTAAAGCAAAGGCTATGGCCGAAAAGATTTGGTAAATAGAACATATAATGTTAAAGATAGTTGTGGGAGTTGTGGTGGAATTTTATAGTGGTTCAGAATACCATGCAGAACTGGAACCCACGTCTGTGACAAATGGAATAAGTGTCTAGTGTTTAGTTAGTTGTGTGGTTTCTTTAAAGCGACCAAGTGTTAAAACACTAGATTTACATTATTCTGATGTAGCTCCAGCCCTGGCCCAGCTGCTATATGATTGTATTGTGTTGTCATATGCCAGACATTCTGAAATCTGCATTGCTGTCTGAAAAAGCATACCCTATCACTACTTCTCTTCTTTCACATGCAGGAGTGTGTGAGATATTGAAAAATAAGTCTTAATTTTTGAAGTGTTGCTCATTGTATGAAGATGCAATTGTTGATGTTTACACTGTTTCTCTTCCCAAATATCACAGGAAATGGCTATTTCAAAGAAGGAAATATGAAATAGCAATAGAATGCTACACCGTGGAATAGCAGCAGATGGCACCAATGCGCTTCTTCCGCCAACAGAGCTATGGCCTACCTGAAAATTCAAAAGTGTGTGCTCTTGAACTTGCAATTCCGCATGATCTGTGTATTTTCTTAGCATTTAAATCAATTCTGTCTTTTGAAATCTTTTTTAAAATAATATCATAGACAAGCTTTTTACTAATTGCACTCTCATCATATCTATTAAAAAACAATCTTAATTAATTTCATATAACATAAACAGTACAGCACAATTTTGTTCCCACAAGAACATTTTGTTCCTATAGTGGAGATTATGTCATAGTTGGGTTGGTCTAATGCTGTTTTGCACTTACAACTGATTTGAAAATGTTTTTTTGTGTGAAATTAAAACTTGTGAAGCAAGTACTAATGTAAGCACTACTTTCATATATTACAAGAATGACTTAATGAGGAATTCAGAGCTACGATTCCTCACCCATTCTCATTGCATTTTATTCATCAAGTTTTAATATTCAACCAGTGAAGTAGAATAAAGTATTCCTTTAGAGCAGAGCTTTCCAAACTGTGTCACAACACATTAGTGTGTCAGCTGCAGTGTGTAGGTGTGTCACGTGAACGCTCCCTCACTCCTCCTGGGGCTGGAAAGAGTTAGTTTAACCTCCAGTTTGGTAGTAAAATTGAATTACTATTACTCTGTCGTGAAATGATGCATGTCTAAAAAGTGTGTCATAACAAGAAAAGTTTGGAAAGCTCTGCTCAGGTTCAGTTGGTACTGTAGCTGTTACGTTGTCAAGACCAGAGAGCAACTCTGCTATAAGTTTGTAACATATTCTTCTTTGTAACATATTCAACTAAATGTTTTTGAACTTTCAAATAACGTCACATAAAGTTTAAATTTAGGCAACATATTGGTTTTTAATCCAAGCGCTTCTTTAATGTAATCACATTGCGAAAGGTCTGTTCAGCTCTAGAGATAGAATTACACAGCTTCTAGTAGCATATAATTTCCATATTTGCTCACATGTGACATAGATATGCAAACTTTGGTCAGAATTTGTTGGAGTGACTGTAGACTGTAAGAAACAGATCTGATGGGATCTGCACTACTAAGTAATCCTTTTAAATGTTTTCTCTTGATGATGAGATATGAAGAAGCAGAGGAAGATTGTATCGATGTATTACTAGATTCCTCCTACTCAAAAGCTTATGCCAGAAGAGGGACTGCGAGAGCTGCACTGGGAAAGCTAAAAGAAGACTGCAAGGTGGATTTTTAATGGATGTGTGATTGTTGTTATCTTTCGATGAAGTTTTTGCTCATCATAATTTCTCAGTGCAACAGCCCCAGTCCACCAACAACAATCCAGTATGATAGCAGCAAAACTTGGGCAAAAAGTAACTGGGGTTTTTTAACACCTAGATTTTCTGAGCTGCTATGTTTGCCTGAATATGTTGGGCCACTGTAAGGGGGACATGGATGTGCTTCACCACTTAACCTTTGCCCAGGGAATAGCACTGAAACTTAATTTTATTTCCATAAGGAGACTCTCGCATTGAAGGAGATGTGGCAGAATCTGGACCTGTCTAATTGCTAATTGAGCAATCAATTTGGTATTTGAAATTGGGCCTTGCATCGTGCTTCATTGGAGTCAAGGCTGATTCAAAAGAAGTAAAGCTATTTTGCTGAAAGAGAGCATGAAAATTGCTTGGTTCCCATTTCTTGCTATTGCTCTGAGTGCAAAATTTCATTCACAGTAGCTTCATTTTAATAAATAATGACCATTAGTTACTGTTATTGCATTTCAGTAGCTCATTATTAATTAGATACTTGAGCATGCCATAGTCATGGAAATCACATTTATTATAGTGGGGAAAGTCTTCTTTGGGAAACCAGTTGGATTCATTAGGACTTCCAAATGGTTAGCGTTTGATAATGGATCATGTCTTAACATGCAGATAAATACATGTAAATTAAGTGTTAAAACTAATTATCGTTACATTATATTAAATTTGTGTTTCTTGATGTAAATTCATCAGATTTTGAAACTGTTTTGAACCTGGAACCTGGAAATAAGCAAAAAGTGAAAAGACAGTTTGCTTTAGCTTGTTGGATAGGAGTTGGGTGAAATACGTGGATGAATGTTAGTGATATAACTAATATTTAATAAGACATTCACTGTTTTTACTACTTTGTTTATTCACCCTTTAATTTTTTAATTTGTAATTTTCTTCAAATGTGTGTCATTTCAGGATAAGATACTTGAAGAACTTGATAAGGAAGATAGCACCCATGATTCAGTGTCTCTAGAATCAGATTCTGAAGAAGATGGAATACACATAGACACAGAAAAAGCTCTTGCTGAGAAAGAAAAGGTTATTTTGGTCTTTCAGAATGAGGGACATTTTTGTTTTCTCCTAACACCCTTTAGGATGTACCTTCAGATTAAACCTTGAAATCAAGAGATTAACTCCAGACATTTTTGGATATTTTACCGTGACTCATTCCTTATCTAATTATTTTAAGACATGTTATGGGCAGCATGGTGATTTGATCTCCTTTTGTTATGTTGATGATCTTCTTGAGATAGGCAGTTCGGAATTGTGGTATTTACTTACTTTAAATCATGTTCCATTTTCTGTAAAAACAACAAGAAGAAGGAAACCCAACCTGGTAAAAGCTATAGATGTTTTGGAAAATTGGTGACAGTCACACTCTTCCGTCCTGCTCAACTCTTATCTCCCAGTGCAGGTTGTGTGATCGAAAGTGAGGTCTGAAAACTGCTAGAATTTGTGGTTACGGAAGTCATTTATAAACAGAAGTGTGAATTGGGGCTAGAGAGATTATGAATATGTGCCCTCTTCCCAAAATTTTACTATATTATTTGTTTGCATTTATATTCCTTTCCTCATTTTATCTTCAAAATAAGCCATGGTGTAGGTTAGGATGCACGTGAGTCTTGCTGAGCTCTTTTTCAAGGGTTCCATCTGAATAGGGTTGAACCTGGGCCACAAAATCCTGAAAGCTGGCAAACACAATTCCCAAGATACAAGAAAAGTAACATTTTGGGGAGGGAAATCAGTTTGAAGTATATTCACACCACTGATCACTATATTTTGTTCAACAGGGTAATAATTATTTTAAGCAAGGAAATTATGATGCTGCAATTGAATGTTACACAAAAGGAATGAATGCAGATCCTTACAATCCTGTTTTGCCCACAAACAGATCATCTGCTTTTTTCCGACTGAAAAAGTAAGGCTTGTTTTGGATACTTTGGTATTTCAGGATTTCCTTAAGCATTCAGCTCTCCCTCTCTTCTTTTTCGGTAGCCTTGTTTTGGCTTTAAACCTGTCAATGCTCAACCATTTCAGTTTGCCATTTGACAGATTAATTAACAAAGAACATGGGAAATTAGTGCCTTATCAGAAGCTGGTTGATGCTCAGCATCCTGAAAGTGCAGAGGCAAACATTTCTGAAGTAGTCCCATTTTATGAGCATTGACTCCTTGAAGGGGGGTGGTAGGAAACATCGGAGTCGCATGCTGTGGCTGCCCTGTCAGACAGTGGGGGACAGAATATACTGAAGGGTATAATATAGCTGACAGTCTTCCCCAATTCAGCACCAGTGCAACTTTAGAAGTGTTCATACCCACATTTCTGTGAATTGCATGGGTTTCTGTTTGCATGCTTTTAAGGAACATGCATTTGGGATGACAAACCTACAATATTGTTGCAGGTATTCTGTGGCTGAATCCGATTGTAACTTAGCACTTGCCCTAAACAAAAACTATACAAAGGCTTATGCCAGAAGAGGAGCCGCTCGCTTTGCTTTGCAAAATTTTGACGGTGCTAAGGAAGGTATGTTGGATTTTCTGTTTCTGTATGTTTAATACTCATTCGTTTTGGCTGTCAAAGACATTGCTCAGCCACAACTCGTTTCATCCCAGGCCATTAACCATGCTTGCTGGGGCTGATGGGAGTTGTAGTTCAACAACATATGCAGGGCCAAAGGTTCCCCACATGCCTGCTCTAGATAAATAACTTTTTGATTTATGGATTGACCTACCAATATACCAATTTCAGCATTAATTCTTCAATTTGCCTTGTCTCTGAAGCATGCATGGAAGAGTTCAGCCAATTAATTAATGTATACAGCATTCTGAGAAACTTCTCAATTGAACAAGATTCTGGGAAACACCCATATATTATTAATTTTAAGTAAAATATGCTGTATCTCAAATGTCACTGGACATTATTGGTTTGTATAATCTTAGAAGAAACTTCTTATATTTGTTCCCCTTCTTTAGTAAGTGTCTGTAAAAAAAATTGCATTGGAGAAATGACTTTTTTTAAAAAAAGGTCATTTTGCAGATATAACAATATTGTCTTAGATTCATGTTTGCTGATGTTGAAAATCGCCCAGGTTGAAACGTAATTACAAACTGTTGGAGACTAACAGTGTTCTGAAATGTGATGAGATCTGTTTTCCATCTTCCCTCAAAATGAATTCTAGAGACTGTGATACCTATTGATGAACTATAAATGTGTTTCATGTTATCTTCTAGTTTATATAGTTGGGTAATAATCCTATTAAACTTTTGGGAGGTTACTTTGAGAACTATTTACTTGTTTTGCTTTTTAAGTGAGGTATGTCAGTGCATTTCCTATACAAGAAGCACTGCTGATACGATTAGCAAGCCGTAACTTACATTTTTCCTAAAGGTTTGTGCTTTTCACCCTATTAATGTATATTTTCATGTCCTGCTGTCAGATTACGAAAAGGTTTTGGAGTTGGATTCAGACAACTTTGAAGCAAAAACTGAACTTAGGAAAATCGAACAGGTAAATAATTTAAATTTGCCCAATGAACATGATTTTATTTTTTGCTATGTAGTATAAATGTTTTGCATGTCTTATGTCTTATATTAGGCTCTCCTGTCGAAAGAAGGCTTCCAAGCTGAAGAATCAGATGTCTTTACCAACACTGAAATAACAGAACAGAAACAAACTGAGGAGGAGCAGCTAAAGCAAAAGGCTATGGCCGAAAAAGATTTGGTAAATAGAACATATAATGTTCAAGATAGTTGTGGGAGTTGTGGTGGAATTTTATAGTGGTTCAGAATACCATGCAGAACTGGAACCCACGTCTGTGACAAATGGAATAAGTGTCTAGTGTTTAGTTAGTTGTGTGGTTTCTTTAAAGCGACCAAGTGTTAAAACACTAGATTTACATTATTCTGATGTAGCTCCAGCCCTGGCCCAGCTGCTATATGATTGTATTGTGTTGTCATATGCCAGACATTCTGAAATCTGCATTGCTGTCTGAAAAAGCATACCCTATCACTACTTCTCTTCTTTCACATGCAGGAGTGTGTGAGATATTGAATAAAGTCTTAATTTTTGAAGTGTTGCTCACTTGTATGAAGATGCAATTGTTGATGTTTACACTGTTTCTCTTCCCCAAATATCACAGGGAAATGGCTATTTCAAAGAAGGGAAATATGAAATAGCAATAGAATGCTACACACGTGGAATAGCAGCAGATGGCACCAATGCGCTTCTTCCAGCCAACAGAGCTATGGCCTACCTGAAAATTCAAAAGTGTGTGCTCTTGAACTTGCAATTCCGCATGATCTGTGTATTTTCTTAGCATTTAAATCAATTCTGTCTTTTGAAATCTTTTTTTAAAATACATATTCATAAGCAAAGCTTTTTACTAATTGCACTCTCATCATATCTATTAAAAAACAATCTTAATTAATTTTCATATAACATAAACAGTACAGCACAACATTTTGTTCCCACAAGAACATTTTGTTCCTATAGTGGAGATTATGTCATAGCTTGGGTTGGTCTAATGCTGTTTTGCACTTCACCGAACTGATTTGAAAATGTTTTTTTGTGTGAAATTAAAACTTGTGTACATAAGCAAGTACCTAATGTAAGCACTACTTTCATATATTACAAGAATGACTTAATGGAGGAATTCAGAGCTACGATCTCCTCACCCATTCTCATTGCATTTTATTCATCAGGTTTTAATATTCAACCAGTGAAGTAGAATAAAGTATTCCTTTAGAGCAGAGCTTTCCAAACTGTGTCACAACACATTAGTGTGTCAGCTGCAGTGTGTAGGTGTGTCACGTGAACGCTCCCCTCACTCCTCCTGGGGCTGGAAAGAGGTTAGTTTAACCTCCAGTTTGGTAGTAAAATTGAATTACTCTGTCGTGAAATGATGCATGTCTAAAAAGTGTGTCATCAACATGAAAAGTTTGGAAAGCTCTGCTCAGGTTCAGATTGGTACTGTAGCTGTTACGTTGTCAAGACCAGAGAGCAACTCTGCTATAAGTTTGTAACATATTCTTCTTTGTAACATATTCAACTAAATGTTTTTGAACTTTCCAAATAACGGTCACATAAAGTTTAAATTTAGGCAACATATTGGTTTTTAATCCAAGCGCTTCTTTAATGTAATCACATTGCGAAAGGTCTGTTCAGCTCTAGAGATAGAATTACACAGCTTCTAGTAGCATATAATTCTCATATTTGCTCACATGTGACATAGATATGCAAACTTTGGTCAGAATTTGTTGGGGTGACTGTAGACTGTAAGAAACAAGATCTGATGGGATCTGCACTACTAAGTAATCCTTTTAAATGTTTTCTCTTGATGATGAGATATGAAGAAGCAGAGGAAGATTGTACTCAAGCTGTATTACTAGATTCCTCCTACTCAAAAGCTTATGCCAGAAGAGGGACTGCGAGAGCTGCACTGGGAAAGCTAAAAGAAGCTATGCAAGGTGGGATTTTTAATGGATGTGTGATTGTTGTTATCTTTCGATGAAGTTTTTGCTCAATCATAATTTCTCAGTGCAACAGCCCCAGTCCACCAACAACAATCCAGTATGATAGCAGCAAAACTTGGGCAAAAAGTAACTGGGGTTTTTTAACACCTAGATTTTCTGAGCTGCTATGTTTGCCTGATATAGTTGGGCCACTGTAAGGGGGAACATGGATGTGCTCCTACCCACTTAACCTTTGTCCAGGGAATAGCACTGAAACTTAATTTTATTTCCATAAGGAGACTCTCGCATTGAAGGAGATGTGGCAGAATCTGGACCCTGTCTAAATTGCTAATTGAGAATCTAATCAATTTGGTATTTGAAATTGGGCCTTGCATCGTGCTTCATTGGAGTCAAGGCTGGTACTGCTGATTCAAAAGAAGTAAAGCTATTTTGCACTGAAAGAGAGCATGAAAATTGCTTGGTTCCCATTTCCTTGCTATTGCTCTGAGTGCAAAATTTCATTCACAGTAGCTTACATTTTAATAAATAATGACCATTAGTTACTGTTATTGCATTTCAGTAGCTCATTATTAATTAGATACTTGAGCATGCCATAGTCATGGAAATCACATTTATTATAGTGGGGAAAGTCTTCTTTGGGAAAACCAGTTGGATTCATTAGGACTTCCAAATGGTTAGCGTTTGATAATGGATCATGTCTTAACAATTGCAGATAAATACATGTAAATTAAGTGTTAAAACTAATCGTTACATTATATTAAATTTGTGTTTCTTGATGTAAATTCATCAGATTTTGAAACTGTTTTGAACCTGGAACCTGGAAATAAGCAAGCAGTAAATGAACTAATGAAACTTAAGAATGTAAGTGTGTTGTACTTCAGTATCTCCCTAATTACTTCCTTAAATTACTTTGAGTATTTTTCTGAGTTATAAATCATTCCGATTTTCATGGATGGTTATTTACTAATCTTTTAAAGGAATCAATTGCAAAAGGGCTGTGGACAGGCACGGAATGTCCTGGACTATCACAAAAGGAAACAGAAGCACAAAATCTAGTGAAACCTATTGATAAACCGTTGCATCTTAGATCAAAAGTAAGTATAAATGATGAGGGTATCAGGTGTTTTTACCCTGAGGATGAGGTTAGTGTGAGCAGGGCAAACTTGTGCAGGCTTGAAGTGTTGTAAAGAAGAGGATCAGTTTGTTCAGGAAGGGAAGTTACAGGCAGGATGTTTGCTGGTATGAAATCAAGAGAAATTTCCACAAAGGGTAGAGGTGTGGAAGAAGAGAAAAGTTCATCTTAAGTATTTTACATGAATCTGAATGGAGAGCCATATCTCTGTCTAGTGGCATAAGAGAGGGAGATACAAAGAGAATAAATATATATATATATTAGAAGGTGTGGTCTTGTAAATACTGTCATACACATTTGGGGCGAGATCAATTGATAGGAGGCAAATTCCGTTGCTGTGTGTGTGTACTAAAAGGGTGAGTGTGTCTTTCTGTGATTGCCTACAAAAGTTTTATGCCACAAACAACTTCTTAGTATCGGGATTTTCATATTTGCTATGGCAGGCACAGGTAAGCTTTGAGAATGCACCCAGTTGTTCACAGGTATGTTAAAACCGCTGTAACTAACTCCCTGCATGGTTCTGTTCTGTTTAGAAACCCTTGAGAAGAATAATCATTGAAGAAGTGGATGGTGAGATTCTGACCACAAATTTGGTGGCTACCCCAAATCCACAACCTAAACAGTCTGTTTCTGCAAGTGTAGAAGCAACACATACCTCAGCATCTGCACAGAATCCAAGCAAAGATTATTTTTCTTCAGCTGATACTCCCAAAGCAAAGCTGTTGAAAATAGAAGAAATCGGAGATTCTGTAACCATAGAGTAAGTACTGATTTTAGTATTAAATATGAACTAGTGGTTTGTTTTGCTCCAAACAAACATGTTCACAATAAACTATTAACTATTAGCTTACTATGAGTTGCGAATTGACCCATATTGTAATGGGGGTCGGAGGCCTTATGAACAGAATAAACAAATGGGAACTTTGGTAATGATTTTTATCAGCTCTTTTAGTTACATATAGGTTAGGATAATTTTAGCTCAAGACAGTTGATGCTAAAAACCATGGTGGCTTAACAGTGTGTATGTCCTTTTGAATGAATCTTAAAAGTAAAACTACAAGGCTGTTTTTTCAGGTCTAATACATGTTATGTAAGTACACAAATAGAAGAGTTTATAACTATCCCCTCATATATTTTAGGAAAACACTATACTGTATTCAGTGGTGGTGTCCAAACTTTTTTCAAAGAGGGGCAGATTTGAAAGGGCCAACCCCAAAGTTATTGAGCTTTTTTTTAGGATTGCAGTTGTTGATTTTTTTAGGTCTGTTGTTGTTGAGCTTCTATTAGGATTGAAGTTGTTGAGGTTTTTTTTAGGATTTTACCCCAGGAAATAAACTGCGTGGGCCAGATTAGGCCCCCAAAATGGACTTTGGACATGCCTGCTATATATAGTATACAGTAAACATTTTATTCTTGTAGCAAAGTTCCAACCCTTGAATATATGCCAAATGGAATGACAGATAAATTACAGGAGAGCAAATGGCTACACTGTAATCAGTGTTGAGAGGGTTTGTACAATTGACATTCCCCCCCCCCCTTTCACATTATGAAATTATAGGGAAAGGCTTTACGTTTCTAGTTGTGAAAATCCCTTTTGATGTTTATAATATTCAGAGCACTATGGGCTTAAAGAATTGTTGTTTCTTACCACTTTTTTCCTCAACAAATTAAATGTACCGTTAAATATTTGGTGCATTAGCATTTGGTATTAAGTAAATCTCTAGTTCTGAACTTTTATATTCATAACCAACTTTGTTGCACGATTGTTGAAGCATTTTTACTCTTTAAACATTGCAAGTAAATCTAAAATGTATGTCAGATCAAGTGTAAGTAGTACTGTTGATGTATATAGTCTTAATCATGTATTCCAATATTGTTGCTATTGTTTGCAAGATTAGGCTTTGAAAATGTACGTTGCACAAGATTGCGCAATCTACTTAGTGGGGATTAGTGTTAGAACAGAATTCATTTTGACAACATCCAATGAAGTGTCACCAATAATGCACATATATCAATTATATGCAAGCTTTTTGCATGATTGAGATAGACTGAATCTTACATTATGTCTTCTCCTGACCTTGTCCTTTACTAGAACAGATTCTGATCTGTTAAAGGGAGTCTCTACCATCATTCTGGATTTTTTGTTTTCTTTTAACCTGGTGATGAACGGCCAGGTGCAGCTTCAAGGTGACATCCAGTTATGTTCTCCAGCTTGCACAATGGTAATGCACTTGCAGAGTGAACTTGAAATTTATCATCTCCTATCTGCAGTCCTCTATGTGCCCCCCCCAATATGCCCCAGAGGGTCCCCCAATCTTCCAGATCCACTTTTCTTTTGGGGGGCAGCAGAGGGCTGCTGTGGGAGGAGACAAGTTCATTGCGGAAGTGCACACCTGCCTGGACTATGTAAAAATTACATACGTTGAATCAGGAATTGCTATAATGTTTCCATTTCATTTCAGTCAGACTTTCTTGGGACTCCTGCGCAAACTCAGAGAGATCAATCACTACTGTACAGAGTCCTGTACTCTAAATCAGGGAGTCATAAATGGGTTGGGACCAAGTATCAGATCAGTGCCTTCTCCATAGCTTGGACTCTCAGATCAACAGCTGAGAGAGGCCCTTCCTACTCTTCCCTCTTTGTCAAAGTTGAAAAAATGACAACCAGAGAGAGGGCCTTCTCAGTTTTGACACACCGTTTTTGACATACCTTCTGCAAGGAGGCTCACTTGGTGCTGATGTTCTCTTTTAGGTGTCAGGTGCAAGAAAATCTTTCTGTTCACTGGCATTTAAGTTTTAGGAATTCTGAATGTTTTGCTGATAGTTCTGTTTTGTCTGCCAATTGTTGTTAACATGTGTCTTATTGATGGGACCCTTTAATTGTGTGAATCACTCTGGAACCAATTTTGAAGATTGGTTTGAATAAATATAACCGTGTTTTGTAAAACCTGTCTCCAAATAGAGGCTAGGTAATCATCCACTTCATGTCTGCCTTAAACGTTTTAGACCTGTCAGCAAAAGCACCGTGAAAGAGAAACCATCATCTACATCTCAGTCTTGTGCTATGAAAAAACAAACTAAGACAGAAAAACAAACACTTCTCCCTGCATTTACATTCCCTGTGCCTCCAGTTCCTGTGAATTCTTTTCAGCTGGAATCAGATTTCAGAAAATTAAAAGGTTACCCAGATCAATTATACGCATACTTGAAGGTAAGCTTCTTCATAGCTAAGTATGGTTTCTACCAAGTTGTGTAACTTTACAGTGCAGTCTTTCTTAATACCTTCCTTTAGGGTAAAGCAATTACCAACTTGTGATTTAGTTAGTTTGTTTCATTACATATTTGTTGTTGTTGTCCATGAATAGTACCTTTAGGGAAAGTTTTTCCTATTGAAGCTTCAGGGACGTGTTGAGCAGCCTCACTGTTTCAGTCAGTTCATGCAAAGAGGTTGCAGCTGTCTCCAAAGCCAATTCCATCGTGTCCAGTGTGGGGCGTCCCATACAGGGTTTTTTGGGGTAATAGCAGGAGGAGAGGGGAGCTCCAGTGCTGGCTGTGCAGCCTCAAGTTTATTTAGGGATTTGGAATGGCCTTCCTCTCTTTCACCAGCAGCCCTAAAACCATCATAGGTGCTTCATTTGAGTGCTGACACCCCACTTGGCTTCAGGACTCAACCTTCCACTGTAGTATTAGAACCAAGTGTGTTCCTTTTTCCTGTGAGTCTCTGTAGCCCTTGTGCTAAGCTAAAGAGAAGGTAGAATTGAAGCTCCTGCAGTTCTGGGTAGAATTGAGTTGGACACCCATCTTCCACTTAGCGATCTTGGACTGAAAGGAAGCAGGAAGTCAGCTGCCTCCTTTTGTTCAACCAAACTCAGCCCCTGCTGCTCTCTTCTGCCGATATTTGCTGGCAATGTGCATGCCTGGATAATCAATCTGTGTGTGTGTATGTGTGTCTGTGTGTCTGTGTCTGTGTCTGTATAATCAGAGGTACTTTTGGAGGGGAAAGACAGGATTTCTTATGTAACTTCGGGAAATTCTCTCCATCTGTAGGATTGCATGCATCAGTTGTACTGAGAGTGCTTATTAAACTGCATATACTTATAGAGCTATCTGTGGTATAGGAGTCTTAAAACCCTTAACCTTCAGAGAACTCTTTCCACATCAGCAAGAAGCAGAAGATCCTCTGACCATATGTTGATTATCTTGAATCCTGCTCTTCCTCCAAGGACCTTAGGTTCTTTTCTCCCCACCCCCTGACTTTCATTATAACCCTTTGAAGTAGGTAAAGCTGAGAGAGAACATCTGGCCCAAGGTGCTTGCTGCCGAGCTAAGCAGCAGACTGTGAATCCTAGGTCTCCCCTTTCACAGTCTCTGTACGCTGTCACAGGATCTTACAGCATGTTCTAGGCCACACATTCCATTCATACTGGTCCTGGGAGCCTCACTGTCACTTCGTATGAACTGAGAGACCTTGAGAACAAATCCAACATTCCCTGATGCTGCCCAGTATGGGGAGAGGGGCAGTCAGTATTAAAAGGAGCAAGCTGTACATCAAGGAGGCGTGTTCCACCATTACTATCACTCTCATTGGAGAACCATGATAAACTCCCAAGGAAATCCATTGTTCCCTAGAACAGTTTGAAAACTGCTGGTATAATAAAACGTTTTAATTGATTTGATTCCTTTCCAGTCAAGCTTTTGTTTCTATAGGCACTGTGCAAGAAGATGAATTCTGATAGTGTGTAATGCCTGCTTTGTTTTTCTTTTTCTTTTGTTTTCTCAAAGCAAATTGATCCTTCACTTTATCCTAATCTGTTCCAAAAATCCTTGGATCCAGATGTATTTAGCCAAATTTTGAAAATTCTACAGGATTTTTATACTGGGTAAGTTTTTCAGTTCATGGATTTTTAGATGGTAAATTGAACAGCTGGACTCATTTCCTGGCGGAAAAGCAATTTTCCTGTTTTCCAGAGCATATTTCTGGCTGCCTGTTGTTCTGCCCGATACTAGCAATATGCCAGTACTTGGAATTAGTGTCGCTTGAATAATCTGTAAGAGAAATGATATTTTACAAAGCAATTTTGGGGAAAGTAAGAAAAAAATCAGCAGCAAAGTGTTGCTTAGAGCTGGAACACTTCAATGCTTACCTTTCAGAATATTTGGATGAAAATCCAGAGTTGACTCACAATACAATGGTCAATAAATATATGGGCACCTTAACAATTGTTCTTTCACTTGTTCTGACATCATACCATGCCTCTGAAGAGTGGTGCAAAGTCTAACATGAGACTCTCCCGTCTATCCATCCATGTAACTTGAGTGCAGAGGAAACATCTCATTGTTGACTTTGGAGGCACAGCGCAATGCCAAAAAGTCAGCACCTTCTGCCCAGGTTCTAGGTTAATGGGAAATGCAGTCTCTGGCTTTGCACTATGCTCTTAAGACACTCAGAATGTCTCTGAAGCATAGTGTGAAGATCAAAACAGGATTATACAAATCCTCTGTATGTGCCAGAGATAATGACTGTACCAAGGCTAGTTAAGATTTGTGGAACTTTGTCACCATGCTTGCTCAATTTTTCTTAGGCAGCTGCTTATGCATAAGACAGGTGGTTCGTTTCAAGTGAAATCAATATTGTAGAATATCTTGACCTTTTAACGGTGATGCCAAGAACTGAGCTTTGAGTCATATAGAACCAAGGCATGTCCCCTACCACTGAGCAGTACGAACTCAGTCGTTTTGATGTGCTTATGAGAAAGCACAGCATGTGTATTACTATTAGTATTATTAGTAAGACCCTGTATTAATGCTGCACACACAGAAAGGGGGAGTTGAAGGAGTGCTGGCAAGATAAGATCAAGTTCCTCAGAAACAAGGAAATGAGGATTAGATGACTATCAATTTAATGTAATGTTGGTAGGAGGCAAGTAGACAAAATACATCCATTATCATGAAAACAGTCTGGAATGATGTTCAGCATGGGAAACTTTTCTTATGCGAAAATGATTGCTGCTATGCTACTTTGAGCAAAATGAAATACCACAGTTGCACCTTAAACGAGAGCAGTTTCAGGATATTTTATACAAAATATTCTTATTTTGGATGCCCATAGGAACATAAGGTCATCAAGTTGCTTTTCTGGATATGTCAAAATTATCAGATTATTGGCAATCATATCTGATTTGTAGCTTGTTGTAGTGTTTGCTTATATAAATTGGTTTTAATACTTGACTAATTTTATCCATGCATTCTGTTTTTCACTTTTTACTTGAGTTTGATAATGCCATATACATGTCATGAAATTATCCAATCAAAAGAAGTTGTTTATAGGTGTATGTTAATGTTTCCCTCTCACACAGGAAAGAAGAACCTTCACTCATCTTAGAAATTCTGCAGAAGCTGTCTGAATCAAAAAGATTTGATATGGCAGTAATGTTTATGTCTGATTCAGAGAAAAAAGGTAAATAAAATGCAACCAATAGAATCTAGTAGTTGATAGGTTTAGAGATAGGCATGCTAATTGCACAGTTTGGTTGCTGCAACAAAATCCTGAAAGTGTTGTTTCACTTTCTTTCTTTTTTAAGAGATTCTATCCAGCATCATTGTTTGAGAAAATAATTTTCATCACCTGCTCTCCCCCCCGCCCGAGCAAAACCTAAAACCAAAATTAGGTAGCTTGGGCTTCTGGTGCTATTGGTGGGTTAGTATAAAATGGAAATGGAAAGTGTCTGGATTTCTCTCTGTGGAATCTTAAAGCTCCTGCTAATATTTAGCAACCCAATATAAATAAAATATTGCAAATTGGGTCCCAAAGTACAATGTTACAGTTCTTTCTTTTGGAGCTTAAAAAACAATTGTTGCATCAGAGGCAGGAGGTCCTGCTCCAACCTGTGTCTTATTTCATGTGCAAAATTTATTTTCTCTTAAGATTAGAACATTTTAGAAGTGCAACCAGTCTTTACGCAAGTCTGTGGAATACAAGTGCTGATTTGGTCTCAGAGGTGGTCAGAGTGAGACAATTGGAAGTAGTTTTAGCTTTTTCTGCAATCTAAAAGATATGAGGGGGCAGTATTAGGTATTAGAAATCCAAATCAGTCACCTCTCACCTGCAGTATTAACAGTGAATTCTGCTGCAGGGCCCCCATAGCAGTAAACTACATGACTTTTATAGTCTACTCTCTCAACCCACTTGGCAACATGGCGAATAAAAGCAGTGGTTTACAGTCGTACCTTCAAAAACTAAATTGCGGCTTCCGATTGGCTGGAAGCTCCTGCAGCCAATCAGAAGCCGCGGAAGCCCTGTCAGACATTCGGGTTCCAAAAGAACGTTCGCAAACCAGAACAATCACTTCCAGGTTTGCAGCATTCGGAATACAAAACGTCCGAGTTCCAGGGTGTTCGTGATCCAAGGTACAATTATATACTGTAGCATTGTTTGTTTGCTACTCTTAGCTTTCGCCCAGCTTGCAGTCATACCTGTGGACAACACTGTAAACTACTCAGAGAAATGGATTAAAAAGTAACAAAGCAGCACAGAACCTGATTTTCTCCTCTCTGCACCTCTGCCTTTGTTAGCCTGCCCTGCAGCTGATAAAGAACATTTTGAAGCCTCCCAGACTGTGAAAGCCCTTCGCTTCTCTTCACCAGCCACTTGCCAGGCAGTCTCATGCAGAGAATATATATATGAGCTGATTAAAAGGCTTAAGAAATGCACTAATCTCTCTTTTCTTATAGCTGCACATTCATTATTTGGTCATTTGGAGCAGTCAGGATTGAAAGAGTCTTCCGTTAAACTGCTCAAGACAAGATACGGTATTTAAGGCAAATACCTTTTTGGGTCCGTATAGAAGTACAGCTGATTCTGCACCGTTTTGGGAAGACACTTGCCTTCGGATGATCAGTGAGACTCCCATCTAGGAGGATTCAAAGTACCTTCCACTTGCGCATGAGGATTGTTTGGCCCCCCCATGCCGCATCACATGTTTCTTTGGAAAGTCTCTGCACTTTCAATAGCAGTTTCCTGGATAGCGAAGAGAGAGGAAAGGCTGGTTTTACATTTACCGCTCCATGCACTGCGCTTTGGAGCCAAGCCTGTGAAAAAGAAGCATTTATGTGGAAAAGGTAAATGTGTGTCTTCCGGTCTAGCAGGGTACCTCATAAGATTTAGCACGACTGAACCTATTTTAAACTGGGGTTTTTCCTCCTTTTGATCATATTGTAGAATCAAGGCTGACAATGAGTTGTTAAAATATTTTATAAATTTTGCGTTGTATGTATTCATTTGCTGTTTTAAAATATTTGTGTATTTCTGTTCTTATCAATAAACAGACGTTTAATTCCAGGATTCTGAAACTGTTGTGTATGATTACAGATTTCAATGTTGATACCTCTTGTCAGATTTTTCAGGTGCAGATGAGTGAAAATCTGATTATTTACAACGACTTGCCACCTTGCCTCACTTTCTCCCCATTTCAGTTACTAACAATGAACATTTTTCTCCTAAGGATTCATCAATCATTGTTTTGGCTTTGTCAGTCTCTTCTTTCTGAGACTATATGTATATCACATGAGTTAATCACCCTTTTACCTCTTCAAACATCCACCCTTACTAAGAGTTTAAAACTGGTTATTTTGCATTTCACTGGTGTTAATTACTGGAATCAAATGAAGGATGTATATTTCTGTATATTCTTCAATAACATTAGGTGTATTCGTGGTGCTAGATAGTTGTCAATTAAACATTTTGACAATAGCATTATATAAACACACTATTTTTTCTTGACACATTTGTTTTATGACATCTGCTCATTTAAAAAATAATTACCAAGGTCTTGCTACATTGATTTCTAATCTATCCACTTGAATCAGGTTCAAATCTAAAAATAAAGCACATTACATATTGTAGCGTGAATGAATTGTAACAAAGTTCAAAGCCTTTTAAAAACACATTTGGCTATCTAAAGTCAGCCAGAAGGAGCAGGTTCTGGAAAAAAGCCCTGCTACTCAGGCTGAGAGTCCATTTACTTCAGCATCCTCATCATTTCCCCCACATCTCCAGGTGTGCATCTAGGAGACCAACATTTGGGGCACTAAGACAGTAGACCTTTCCTGCTGTTTAATTGCACAATGGGCAATTTCTGTGCCCATTAACGGCTTGCATTGCCCCTAACATATGCATTATTCTTCAGAAAACAACTGGATGGAATTGGTCCCTGTGAAAATAAATGTTTGGCTTCCTGGTTATTCAAAATTCTAAACCTCCAGCAGTTAACCAAGTAAATAGCGACAGCCCATTAAAAAAAAATCACAGCGAATACAGGTTTTATAGGTAGAACAAATGAATTTGTTTTCATTGCCACTTTATAGACATTGCACGCTGTACCTTATCCTCTAGAACAGTAATTTTCAGACTATTCAACATGTGTATCAAATGCTACAATGAGCATCAGTTAAACTAATGCTGAAAAATGAGCACTTAAGACCAAATTATTGGGATTTTTTCAATAAAACTATCTCTTCAATTGAGGAAAAGAGGCTTGATATTCAAAATCACAGCTGTTCGTTTCATTCAAATGTTGGCTGGCTGTAAATATGAATTAATATTTGAAAATGCCAGTCCTATAATTTAGTAAATGCTTAAGTAGGCAACCTATCCCTGGAATAGAGAACAGGACATTACTCATCCCTTGGTTCATAGGGACACTAGTTCTATTTGAACTGTTCCAAGAAATGTCATGAGAGACCCAAATTCTGATTTGCTTGGACTGTATTGTTTTCTTTGGTGACAAGCAATAATGAGAGTTTGGTTTGACTGTCTTCCAAAACCATTGTGAGTTATCCAGGTCCAATAAAACCAGCAAGAATGTTTGTTATTAATCTCAATTGCCTTGGCATATTATAATCTTGAGGTCTGGTTTTTAAAGACAATTTATGCTTGTTATCTTCTGCAGAACCCCATCATTGAATTGATCTTCAATGTAACAAAACAAAACAAAAAGATACACCAACTCTGTTCTTTCTTGATGAGAACAAAGACTCATACTACCGCTGACCAAGGAAGCAGAGCAGAGCCATCATGACTAGTTTGGGAACTACTGATTAGAACTCTGAGTCTAAAAATACCTTAGTTCACTACAATAATAATAATAATAATAATAATAATAATAATAATAATAATAATAATAATAATAATAATAATTTATTATTTATACCCCGCCCATCTGGCTGGGCCTCCCCAGCCACTCTGGGCGGCTTCCATAAAAACCAAAAATACAATAAAATCACACGTTAAAAACTTCCCTGAACAGGGCTGCCTTAAGATGTCTTCTGAATGTCAGGTAGTTGTTTATCGCTTTGACATCTGCTGGAAGGGCGTTCCACAGGGCGGGCGCCACTACCGAAAAGGCCCTCTGCCTGGTTCCCTGTAGCTTTGCTTCTCGCAATGAGGGAACTGCCAGAAGGCCCTCGGCGCTGGACCTCAGCGTCCGGGCAGAATGATGGGGGTGGAGACGCTCCTTCAGGTATACTGGACCGACGCCGTTTAGGGCTTTAAAGGTCAGCACCAACACTTTGAATTGTGCTTGGAAACGTACTGGGAGCCAATGTAGGTCTTTCAAGACCAGTGTTATATGGTCTCGGCGGCCGCCCCCAGTCACCAGTCTAGCTGCCGCATTCTGGATTAGTTGTAGTTTCCGAGTCACCTTCAAAGGTAGCCCCACGTAGAGTGCATTGCAGTAGTCCAAGCGGGAGATAACCAGAGCATGCACCACTCTGGCGAGACAGTCCACAGGCAGATAGGGTCTCAGCCTACGTACCAGATGGAGCTGGTAAACAGCTGCCCTGGACACAGATTTGACCTGTGCCTCCATGGACAGCTGTGAGTCCAAAATGACTCCCAGGCTGCGCACCTGGTCCTTCAGGGGCACAGTTACCCCATTCAGGACCAGGGAATCCTCCACACCTGCCCGCCTCCTGTCCCCCAAAAACAGTACTTCTGTCTTGTCAGGATTCAACCTCAATCTGTTAGCTGCCATCCATCCTCCAACCGCCTCCAGACACTCACGCAGGACCTTCACCGCCTTCACTGGTTCTGATTTAAAAGAGAAGTAGAGCTGGGTATCATCGGCATACTGATGAACACCCAGCCCAAACCTCCTGATGATCTCTCCCAGCGGCTGCATGTAAATGTTGAAAAGCATGGGGGAGAGGACAGAACCCTGAGGCACCCCACAAGTGAGAGCCCAGGGGTCTGAACACTCATCCCCCACCACCACTTTCTGAACACGGCCCAGGAGGAAGGAGCGGAACCACTGTATGACAGTGCCCCCAGCTCCCAGCCCCCCAAGACGGTCCAGAAGGATGTTATGGTCGATGGTATCAAACGCCGCTGAGAGATCCAGCAGAACTAGGAAACAGCTCTCACCTTTGTCCCTAGCCCGCCGGAGATCATCAACCAGTGCGACCAAGGCAGTTTCAGTCCCATGATGAGGCCTGAATCCCGACTGGAAGGGATCCAAATGGTCCGCTTCTTCCAGGCGTGCCTGGAGTTGTTCGGCAACCGCTCGCTCAATCACCTTGCCCAGGAATGGAAGATTTGAGACTGGGCGATAATTGGCCATCGTGGTCGCATCTAAAGATGGTTTTTTAAGAAGCGGTTTAATAACCCCCTCTTTCAGCGGGTCTGGGAAGGCTCCCTCACGGAGGGAAGCATTCACCACCCCACGAAGCCCATCACCCAGTCCTTCCCGGCTAGCTTTTATAAGCCAGGATGGGCAAGGATCCAGGAGACAGGTGGTTGGTTTCACTCGTCCAAGCAGCCTGTCCACATCCTCGGCGGTAACAGATTGGAATTGATCCCACTCAACTTGACTAGACAGAACTCTAGCACTCTCCTGCCCCGGCCCTGCTCCCACGGTGGAGTCTACTTCTTCCCGAATCTGAGCGATTTTATCTGCAAAAAACTCTTCTCTCCCACCTCCAGTTTATTCATTAAACGTGTACCCTTCCTTACCCCACAAAATGCCAAATGTAGTTGTGATCTTCACAAACAGACTTGTGCATTCACACACATCAGACACGGGCAATATCAGCACAGAGAAGCAGCTTCTACCTGAACTGATGTGTGTGAATGCTGATGTTGTGTAATTCAAAGTGTTATGAACTTCACACATGTTCCCACAGCATCCTTTATGATGTGTGATGAACGGAACAATTCATAAAAAATGTAGGTTGCGCCATAAATTAATCAAATATAGGTAAAGGTAAAGGGACCCCTGACCATTAGGTCCAGTCGTGGCCGACTCTGGGGTTGCGGCGCTCATCTCGCTTTATTGGCCAAGGGAGCTGGCGTACAGCTTCCAGGTGATGTGGCCAGCATGACTAAGCCACTTCTGGCAAACCAGAGCAGCGCACGGAAATGCCGTTTACCTTCCCGCCTGAGTGGTACCTTTTTATCTACTTCCACTTTGACGTGCTTTCGAACTGCTAGGTTGGCAGGAGCAGGGACCGAACAATGGGAGCTCACCCCGTCGCAGGGATTTGAACCGCCGACCTGATCAACAAGCCCTAGGCTCTGTGGTTTAACCCGCAGCACCACCCACATCCCAATCAAATATACCTGCTGTCTTATGCCTAAAAATCCATAATGAGCTTTCCTCTGCTCTCTCATAGCATACTGCTAACTGAAATACCAGTTAATGGGGAGCGAGCATCTTCAATATAACTTTTAAAAATGAAACATGGTTTTTTCCCCTCGCTGACTGAAGCAAATTTATCCACGCTCACTGCTATGCCTTAAAAAAAAACACCTGTCCAATTCAAAATCACAGTCTCTTCTCTAACTGCTGCTGGTTTTCTAAAATGCCCAATTTAAAGGTACAATGAAGTTTCAGGATTTTAAAAGTTGCTATAAGCTCCTTTCACCTGCTTTGCCTCTTAGAACTCGGCAGTGCAGCTCTCTCTGTGGCTGGTGTCCTAGATTGATAAACTGAGGGTAGTACCCTATTCAAACTATGTAATTTCTATTTTTACTGCAGCGTTTGGCACTTTTTAGCCCTAGCCAGCTTGCAAATCTAGTTGAAAGAGTTGTGTGGAAAGAGAAAAGCACAGAGAAGTGAAGAGCAGGAGGGAAATGGGCATTTAGAATCTTTTTAAAGAAGATGCCCCCCTCCTGCCTGATCTTCACTTATGTACGCAGGGGCCTGGAACGTTACCTCCATGTCAGTGGGGGTACACCTGTATTGTGCACTTGCTTAAAGACACACAAGCATATCTGATCATTCCATTGCTACCCTACGGCCTCCCTTTCAGTCTCCTTCCCAGTCCTCTCTGCAGCCCACTGCCATG